GACTAATATATTCATGAATTTAAAATTATTTTATAAATTTATTTTTTTAATAAATTTTAAATAATTACACCAGTATATACATAATCTTATAAGTGGAGATTGAGGAAGATAGTGTATAAGCAGATCTTACCCCTACCTTGAGAGGTAGAAAAATTATTTCCACTAGACTATACCCTCAGCTCAATGAAAAACATAAAAAATGATCAAAATGGTCCTTGATGTATAAGGGTTGATGTATTTTGGTCCTTTATATGTATCATCTCATCCAAATAGTCCTTAATATATATGAAAAGATGATCAATTTAGTCCCTAGCCCTAAAACTAACCAAAAAGTTAAAAAATCTGTTAAATTTAACAGTGGGTCCCACACTTGGTGGAACCCTTCTTCCTCCCTCTTTCTTCCATAATCTCTTCTCCTCCATCGGTTTTCTTCAACCATTTTTTTTACAATTTTCAATTGATCTATTTTTGTTTCCACTGATAAAATCCTCTCATACAGACACAAAGTTTCTTAAGATTATTATTTTCTAGCTCTGTCCATTCAGTTTTAATCCTTTTATTTGAAATATGGAATGAATAAAGATGCAAGAAAAAAATACTCGTAATTTTGAAAAGGATAAAACAAAAAGAAAATTAGTTACAACTTAAAAGGAATTGATTTATGGTGATCTCGAGGAGAAATAGAATCGTTTAACTAATTTACTTGGTTCACATTTGTTTTAGAGATCTTGATTTTCTTCTTCTTCTTCTTCTTATATAAGAAAATAGGAGCTGCTCAAATTTTTGTTCTGACGAAAGATAAGAAATGGATGTAGTGTGTATGATTTTTCTTACAAGGATACGGAGTATGACCTTGTGAAAGAAAGAAGTTGAGGAAGCAGGGTGCCATGGTGATGGTGAAAGAAAACAAATTGAGGAAGAAGGGGTATTACTAATTTTTTATTTTTTTTAAAGTTTGGCATGTTGTGGGACCCACTGTTAAATTTAACAGTTTTTATTTTTTTGGTTAGTTTTAGGGCTAAGGACTAAAATGATCATCTTTTTATATACATTAAGGACTATTTGGATGAGATGATATACATAAATGACCAAAATACATCAACCCCTATACATCAAGGACCATTTTGATCATTTTCTCTATCGGTGTAATATACCATAACTATAATAAATTATATATAAATGTATAACAGATTAATTGAAAACAAAATGATAAAAATAAATAAATAATCATTTAGGCTATGATGATACATAACGTGGCATATGATTCATTTTTATTGATATTAAAATATCAAACTAACATAAAGTAGTTCAACAAAAGAAAATAACATAAGTGAAAAAGTCACGATAAAATACTAAAGATAGCATGATAAATCAATTTGAAAAAATTAATAATATTATATTTAAAATAGAAATCAAAGAATAAGAAATTACAAGAATAATGTTACAACTACTAGTAAAATCAAAAAATTGTAAGAGGATAATTAGCTGGAGATGAAGTAAATATAAATCAGAATCAATGATTAGATTATTGTCAAGGTGAAATTTCCATGATGGAAATAGTTTCTACTCCCAACCAGCAAAGTTTCTGAAGGATGGCATTATCAATCTGCTTTTACTTGGACTTACTGGAACACATAAATAATAGAAATATTCTATTTCTATCATTTGATGATGATTCTTCCTGCATCACAAATAAAATAAATCTTAAAAACACTATCATAGTAAAGATCTTTTATATTAGTGATAAGACACATGTATCTCTTTAGACTATGATCAAAATTTCAGAGACACACTTTAATTAAATTAAGGTTTTATTATTTTTAGATTCATTTTTTTTAATTTTGTACATTTTTTTGGCTAATGTGGCATCCAAACATATCTCATGCACCTCAATTACGTGGAGTCACGAAGTGTGCCACATAAGTATAAAGGTGTACAAAATTTTTAAAAAATGAATTTGGAGAGGTAATAGAACCTTAGTTTAGTTAAGGTGTGTGTCTAGGATTTCAGTCATAGTCTATGGATACTAATGTCTTATCCTCTTATATTATCAATGTAGTTTAACTTGATATTTTATTTATTGCACTCAAAGTTGGGGAAAACTTCTAAGTTGATTAGTTTGACTCAACAAGTAAGAACAAATAAAAATACTGAGTTTGAAGAGACCTTCCGTGAGGTAACTTTTTCCCACAAATAGTTTGTTCGTTACTTTTCATAACTTTGTCAAATACAGACATTATTTTAGAGTCAACACCTTGTCATATGTCCTTTTCAGAAGGACCTTTCATAACATTCAATTTGGTTTTTATAGAATTACTCATGACCATAGTTTCATCGGTCCAATAAGGGCAATATGACCCAAATGTTTGTTTTACAACACAAACATGACAGATCACTTTCCACCAATGCTCATGTCTATACAAATAAATTTATTTTAATAGACATATTTTTTCATGAAAATCACAATGTTTAAGTGACTATTTCATCAAAGAACACAATTCTTTTGGATGAGTAACATAATTTTGTGATTTTATACTAGTCATATCATATACTAGTAAGGAGAGACTCAACGACCACAATATCAAATATACTTAAAAAAATTTGTGGGCCTCACATAATACAAGAATGTCATTGAATTTCATATCTTGTACGTACTTTCAAATTTAAATTAGACACTAGGTCTAGTTTTGTCTTTATCACAAGTAAAGAACTCTCCCCCCCTCCCCCCTCCCATTTTAAATATGATCTCTAAAATATTTTTCAAGTATTTGAAATTATCTTCCACATATTTTGTTTCTCATGCTTTCAAATTGTATACAATCAAAATACACATTGGCAACATGAACCCTTCTTTTGGAGATATAATCCATAGAAACACTCAATTCAGGCACAAAAATCATTAATTTTATGTAACAATAAAGATTCAATCTTTATACAATTTGTTTCTAGTTTAACGATGAAGATTTTATATTCTTCTAATCGTTAGTCGAATGAACTTTGAATTTTGATGAAGTTTTTTAATTTTCTTCGAATCAGTTTCTGATTCAAACAGTAGAAAATCAAAAAAAGCTTTAATCTCCAGAAATCTTAAATCTAACACTGTTTCTAGTTAATAATGAAGTTTTTTATATTCTTCAAATCGTTTAGTCTTAGTATTCCTGACAAAGTTTTTGTACTTTTTCAGTCTGAATATTCATTCAAATAGAGTATTTAACAAATTGGTGGAGTTTCTATATTCTTCAAACCAACACACAATCTGATTTGTTCGGTAATGTTCTTATATTCATCAAAACAAAGGAGTAAAAGATCAGAAGATTTTAGTCTCCAAAAGTCAGATACAGTCAAATTTCACATGGAGTAGAAAACTACAAAAGTTTTTTTTTCTCCTCCTCCAAACAGAATACATATAAATAATAATAAAGATATATTTTGAGATCATTACATAATGACCATCTATCTAACCTTTATGAAATAATTCTCATAATTTATAATGGATAGACAAAGAAATAATCAAGAAAAATAAAGATAGAAACTTATTTTTACTCCCATTACATCTTATTCTATCTGTCAACAATGATTCCATGTAAGTCACTTTTCTTGCTAATTTTTCATTTTCCTATTTCCATCATATTCCAAATTTTCTCAAGAAGACATTGACTTTCAACGAGAAACTCAATTCATGTTCAAATATTGATAGGAGACAATTTCTGTTCATTTACTTCTTCTTATAGTTATATAAAATAAAAAATATAGGAAAAAAAATTAAAGTTCACATCTTAGCTTTTATGCACAAAATTTTTTTTCTCATTAAAAATAAAACTGAAGGGTGCAATGCTTGAATGTACTTGGGTAAGAAAATAAAAATAATCATATATCTATCCAAGAAAAACTTACTACAAAAAATATCAACAATAATTTAAATTTCTTAAGCATGTTATCTCTTGTATTTAAATTAGCAAACCAAAAATAATAAAAGATGTAAAGAAAAAGAAAAGAACTATCCGAGTCCACAAAACTCATTATGTGTCCTTAAGAAATTTAATCCCCTCAAATATCCAATGTTATAGATTAATTCCTTCCAAAATAAAACGAATTAACCATTAGAGTAGTAGCGACACCTCAAATTTCAATAATTTCAACAAACTCAAAATGACAACAATGAATCACACACAAACACGATCAATCGATTTTGTTTTGTAAGAAATGTATGCATAAGAATGTAAGAATTCAATTAAGAAAAATGAGAAAAAATCTTTTTATTTATAGCCAACAAATGGTAAAGATCACAACTCTTTGAAAAAAAACATTTCAGAAAGGGCACAATCTTTCAAACGGTCACAACCTTTTAGAAAAGACAAACCCTTCGACAAAGTCACAACCATTTAGGAGAGTCACAATCCTTCATTATTTTTAGACATAAAAAAAATAAATTATTGATGAATTAGTAAAATCATGTTTTTTTATATTTTCTTAAGCATCGCACAAAATGAAAAGTGATCGACTAATAAAAAATTCATTTTATTTAATTAACTTATATTCACACTAATAATCAAAAGATATCTAAAATGACATAGTTCTTTCATTTTTTTTGTAACTTTGCATCAGAAGCATCAATTATTATGAGTTAAAGACCAAACAAAAAAATCATATGTCCTTTCTATAATTGAAAGAATTCAACTTAAATTTCAAAAATCATTCTCAAAAATGGAGATTGTAAATTAACCTCATTGCTTAGGTAACCAAGGAGCTGCAAAAATTCCTCATAAATCATTCTATCTTATATTAATTTTGTATCAATTTATATTTAAACTGTATCAAATCAAATAGAGTGCAATTGTCAATTGAATAACTGAAGTATGCAATTGGGGTCTCATATGTTCATATAATAAAGTATTCGGATCTAGAAAGCTTAAATTGCCCATCAATATTTTCTCAACTGCTAATCTAATTAGCTCAACTTTCAAATAGAAAATTGTGTAGATGACAGAGAGAACAAATAGTAATGGGTAAATCAAATTTCTATTTCATGAATATATAACAGATATCAAAGTTCAAAAAAAAAAAAAACCCTAACCCCCAAATCCGTAAAGGGTCCTTCCTTGCCTCTTAAGTGCATAAACAACATCCATAGCAGTAACCGTCTTTCTCCTAGCGTGCTCTGTGTAAGTTACAGAATCACGAATCACATTTTCCAAAAAGATTTTCAGAACCCCACGAGTCTCTTCGTAAATCAATCCAGATATACGCTTCACACCACCTCTACGAGCGAGTCTACGAATAGCTGGCTTTGTAATTCCCTGAATATTGTCTCTCAACACTTTCCTGTGCCTCTTCGCTCCTCCTTTTCCCAATCCTTTGCCTCCTTTGCCTCTGCCTGACATTTTCTTGCTCTTGATTTTGGACTTCAATAAATTGGGGATTTGAGAGTTGTGTGTTTTTTATATATAGCTGATGGTTTAAATCGTGGCCGTTGGTATGTTGGAGCTTAAAGTGATGATCGGACGTATATTAACGACGATCCGCGTGAGAAGCCAATACTGTATGTCAGCCGTTGATTAGATTAAGATCTACGGTGGGGAGTGATTGTTTTGTCATGGATGCGGATTGTGATTTTTTTGGTGAGAGAAGCGAGTACATTGTTGGTTTGGTCACAAAATCTATGTAATTCTTTTATTTCTAAGTTTTTTTTTTACAGCCTCTTATAATTTTTGTTGGCCTATTGAAAAATTAAGTTATTATTTTTTGAAATATTATATTAAGGTCTAATATTTGTAAAATATTGGTTTGGTCATTTGTATTTTGAAATATTATGCAATCTAGTGCATAAAGCATCTCGTGTTCATGCATGATTAGAAGAAGAGTCGTATCTAAAGAGATGATGTAGACAATTTATTTTAATACAAGTATTAGTAACTGTTTTCAGAATTTTAACTCCCACAAAAACGATTTATCATTGTTCCAAAACTCTTCTTGGATATTTTGTTCTTTCAACATTTTTTTTTACTCTCAAACCACAAAAAATTATGCACATAAAAATAATAGATGTTAAATTAACAATTAGTGACTTAGTAGTACATATATAACAGAAGAATTAAACAAAAATGGAGGCAATTTTACAATACAGTCAAACAACAGTTTTTTTTGTAGAATTCCTAGGATCGTTAGATCAAATTATCGCCACAGGGTGATCACTGTTCAACTCGGAAAACTCCATGATCTCAGGAACCACAAACATAGACACCGCATTTGTAGCCTTTATGTTACTTAAACAAAATCAACATGAACTGAAAAGGAAAAACTTTGAATCATTAACCACTCAGAAACAATAAAAAATAAAAAATAAAATTCAAGTGTCACATTACGTACATTCAAAAACTCTAAGTGCTACCGTTGTATCCGTAGAGAAGAGTGGATACACTTTCGTATATTTAACATAGTTAGGTTTTGTTATTAAGAGATAATCACCGTTAGCAAACAAATTTCACCCTTCTTTAGCACATACATTTACCACATAAATTATTTATTTATGTTGATCAGTTGTCTTATTATAATAAATAGTTATCATATTATTTAATAATTAATAAAATTAAAATAAAATCAACTAAATTTTATCTTTACAATTGACACCATTTAAAAGTGTAAACAGTTTATAAGGTTTCAAAAGAAATTCTTAAACAGTAAATTAATAAAATTATATTTTTTATTTGTAATTTTTAATAAATAAGTGAATAAAATAAACAACTACGTAAACTGCAATTTTGCTCCTCCTCATTTGTTATTAAAACAAAAGCAGAAAGCCTCTCTACCAAAAGAGAAAACCAAAACCAAAGTAAGTAATATACTATTTGGGTGTATGGTTTTATTGTTTTTGTTTCTTGTTTTCCAAAATGATACCGAAACTCAAGTAAGTAATATACTATTTGGGGGTATGATTTTGATGTTTTCGTTTCTTGTTTTTCAAAATCTAATAAGGGATTGTTTAGGTCAAGTAACATGTTGTTTTCTTTGACATTGATTTTGCTAATTATAAGAAGTTACCTGCCGGATGTATTTAAGGTGACATTCTTAAATAACATGATTTTTTTAAAATTAATCTCATATAGTAATATTATTATTTATAAAATTAAAAATTGATTCTAGTTAAAAAAAAAAGTTAGTAATGTGTTTACAATATATTAACTTAGTGTTGTAAAATGAGAGTCAAACACACAATAATACTAAACAAGAAATGGAAGACAAATGCTAATAAGAAGTATAGAGTAGAGAGTATTATTTTATCTCTTTTTGTTGTTATTCACAAGGGTGAAGCATACCCTTTTATAGTTAGTAGAAATCACCCGTTTACAATGCTAAGCAAATACATTAGAAGCTCTTTAAGTGATACATTAAATGGGACATTACATTAGGTGTAGATTGAAAAGAAATATCCATACATTGAATGAATTTGTAACACTCTCCCTTGGATGTTTATAGATAATGTTCCTCGTTAAAACCTTACTAGGAAAAATCCGGTGGGAAAAAACCTAGTGAAGGAAAAAGAGTACACACATCTTGTTATACGCCTTGAGTGCTGCCTCATTAAAAACCTTACCAGGAAAACCCAATGGGACAAAACCTTGGCTAAGGAAAAAAGAGTACAACATGTATTTTACTCCCCCTGATGAAAAAATTACATTTTACAAAAAATCCCTTAAAAAGGTAGGCGAATGATACATAGCTACCATTCCGATACATTATAACTGATACAAGGTAAACAAATTATTGTTGCGCTAAAAAAGGAAAAAAACGCAATAATTACTTATGTTTTTAATTAGCTTGATTTACGCCTAACTGATCCTAAACAATCCATATCTTAATAGGTAATCTACTCAGACATTACAAATTTCAAATTTCAAAATTATATCTTCTACATTGAAGAACAATTTGTGAACATCCATCGATTTAGAAAAAAGTGAGAAATACGAATAAAACTCTGATTTTTTGCTGATACAAGATGAATATATCAATTTAATTGAGGCATTCAGGAATTTGGGTCAGCAAAGTGAAATATGAAAGTTACAAAAGTGACGGAATCGTTGTTGTACAATCAATTTTGTTTTTGAATCTCAAAGCAGCAATTTCAGCCGAGTTGGATATCGATGTATCAAGGAAAAAACATTGAAATTCGTTACATCGTAGAAGGTAACTCGTCTCCGATGAAAATTAAGAACGACATGGTTGTTAAACTTTATTTAGAAGTGAAAAAAAGTGAGCCAGGATTTGCAATGTATCTATTATGCATTGACACAAGTGAAAAGATTGGCGGTGATGTACATAACTTTGATGGAACATTCGGAAAAATTCCGTGTGTAGAAGGCACATCACAGAATACAGAAGCTCTTGCGGTGGTTGAATCAAGAATTTGTGATTCGTATTATATTCCAAAATTGAAAGTTGCAAATTACATAATTGATTCAAATAGTATAGAGGTGAAGACATGTCAGTTATATAAGGATAAAGCAACACTCGTAGATGTGATGGCAAAATATAAGATAAAGAATAACTTCAATTGCAAAGTAAAGAGATCTGATAGACAAAGGTATGGGAGTATTTGATTTGTTTTGTGAAGAACTGTGTTTGGATTCTTTAGATCTATAAATGGTGATACCATTATTTTGTTTTAATGTATGATATATTATTAATTAGAAAGTCTTTGATTTTGATTTTTGTTTAGTTTGTTGACTATGATTTGTGGTAGATTGATAATGATACATTATTTGTTGGTACATTAAGTTAATATTATTGATACGTTAAGATAATACTGTTGAAACATTAAAGAATTTAATCACAATAATCATGTAGCCGATACATTCCAAAATTTTGTGATACATAATTCATTATTTATTTATTTTTTGAATTTGATAAAAAATAATTGTGTTGGTCGTTAATATTGTTGATACATTGAGTTAATAATGTTGATACGTTAAGATAATACTGTTGAAACAATAAATAATTTAGTCCCAACAATCATGTAGCTGATACATTCCAAAATATTGTGATACGTGGATAAATTAATTTTTTCTGAATCTGATACAAAAAATACACTAAATTAATTACGTTGGTCTTTGAAAACTATTGATATATTAATGTACATCATTCTTTGATTACTTTTAACATTAGTGTTTTATATATTATAACATGTAATTGCTATATGTAATAATATGATGAAAAAATTGTACAACTATGTGTTGGTATGCTTTTTGGATGAATGTGGCTGGACTATAAAGGCTATTTGGGCCCACTCGTTATCAATGGGATCAGGGGTACTTCCAGCAAGAAATATATCGAAGAGTTAGTGCTGGGCTACAGCATCTTTCCATAGACTTTTTCTTGCCTGGATTAAAATTCTATATATGAATAGTCATTCCCTCACAAATTCTTTATTTGAATATCTTTGCTTTGTTCGTTCTACAGATATAGATTAAACTACCTTTCTTGGCACCATCCCTATTCTGATGGCTCAGTACAAGACCGATCAAAGTTAGATACTTCAATAGTGAACATACGTGTCCAATGCGGGATAGGGTACTAACCAAAGTCCAAGCAACAGTCGGGTTTGTAAGTGGTGTGACTGCTCCCAAATTGGTCAACCATAAACGAATTCATACTTCGAAAGATATAACTGCTGATATTAGAGAATTCTATGGGGTTCAAATATCTTACCAGCAGGCATGGCGTGCTAAAAAACGTGCACTAGAAATGATAAGGGGTAAACCATCTGCTAGATATAGACAGATGCCGAGATACATATACATGCTAAATACCGTGTATCCAAATTCTTATATAAGGATGCAGAAGACTGAGGAAGATTAATTTATGTATATGTTCGTAGCCTTAAGACCATTGATTAGGGGGCTCGATTACTGCAGACCAATAGTTGTTGTCGATGGTGCACATCTGGGCGAAGCTTACAAAGGGACATTTGTATCAGCAAGCACACTTGATGTGGCAGGTATGTATTTTTTGTAGTTGTGAGGTGTTTGTAAATGTTATGTATCAAATGAAATAATGTGTGTTGCCCTGTAATTAGGTTGCATATTTCCATTGACATATGGTGTTGTGGACATTGAAAATGACTGTTCGTGGCGAGCGCGAAGAAATATGTGTTGTATCAGATAAGAATGAGAGTATTATGAAGAGTGTAAGGAATGTGTTCCCAAATGTACCTCATTATGCATGCATATGGCATCTTTGGAAGAATGTTTGTGGAAACTTCAAAAGGAGCAGAAACACCCTAAGTGATCTATTCTACTCTATGGCCAAGGCATACAAAAATGAGGATTTTGATAAATTGATGGCTAAGGTTGATAAAGTTGATCACAGGGTTAAGGAGTACCTTGAGGATGCAGGGTATGAGAAGTGGTCGAGAGTTCATTCAATAGTAAATAGAGTTAGAATGATGACTTCGATCATTGCGGAATGTATCAATGGTTGTCTTGTTGAAGCACGACAATTGTCTATATTAGAATTCTTGGAAGAAGTTAGAATTCTATTTGGTTCTTGGTATTGCAAAAATAGAGAAATAACTTCTTATACAAAGGACACATTGGGGAGAAGGTTTGAGAAGGTGTTGATTATAAAGGCATCTAAAAGTTCAAAGATGGAGGTATGTGTCATGATAAATTATTTTATATTCTATGTATCTAATTCAGTGTATCATTCTGTTGTTTGAACATGATTTCTTTGAAATAATTTTATAGTTGACTTTTTTAATGTACGCAGGTAACATGTTTCATCATCTGAATTTATTTTCTCGGTTTATGAAGCTGGAAGAAGATACATTGTTTGTCTTGAGCAGAAAGTATGTTCTTGTGGAAGATTTCAACTAGATGAGATACCTTGCGCACATGCAATCGTTGTTTTAAAGGAAAAGAATGTTAAAGATATGCATCCATATTGCTCTGATTACTACAAGCCTGATGCATTAGCAAAAACATATGAGATTCCAATGGTTCCAATGTCAGATAAGGAAGATCGGTCAGCTCCTGAGGATGTGGTAGCTGAAACTGTGTATCCACCTAGATACAGACGATTAGCTGGACGACCAAGGAAAAGAAGAAAAAGAATGCAGATGAAAAGATTACAGTGAACACAAATTGTTGTGGACAATGTTGACAAGAAGGTCACAAGAGAAGAACTTGTACTTTCTTCACAAAAAAAAGGTGAAATCATCATAATGTTTATATGACATTAATGTTTTTGTTGAATAATTTTTCACATAAACAGTTATCAATGTTATTAATCAGTATTGCTGTTCAAAAATAATTAAACTGTATTGTTTACATTTGTTATTAATAAGTATTGTTGTTCAAAAAAATAGTTTGTTATGATTTGTGTATCAATGTTAATTCTGTTAAATAAATTTTAACGTGCGAATTATAAATAAAATGTTGGGTAACGTATAAGCTAATGTATCATATATATTAAATAATAAATAATTTCAGTTATGTATCATATACATCAAATTATATAACGTTAGTTGTATCATATACATTAATTGGTTACTGTATCATTTACATTAAAACATACACAACCTATATGTTAGCAATAAGCTATTATGTGTGATAATTTATATGATACATACATTAAACAATTAAGTTTGTAAACAGTTTATTTAACACAATAACTATGAATCGTGTATCATATACTATATATATTATGTTTCATGTATAATATTAATTATAAATAATGAATCATATACGTTAAATTTTCAAAAATCTATTTATTAGTAATAGGTTATTATATCTGATTACTTATAAGATACATAATAACAATGAAAACATGTATCAGATACAGTATATGTTAAATACTGCACTTTTTCTTTATGTAATGCAATAATGTGTCTGAAATTTAACTTTTTATAAGCAAAGTATATTGGTCCATACAGTATCAAAACAGACTAAAACATGAGTGAAATTTTGGAAAGGATAAAAAAAACATAAAACGTTGTCTATGCATAGATACTTAATTACTACACTATGTGAATCAAATCTTCTTTTGGTGGTGGTGTGACTACACCCTTAGGTTTTGGTAGATCATTATTCTCACTAACGTATGCACCCTTAGCCTTCTCGCTGCCATAACTCCACAACAATGCTCCATATCTTTTGCATAGGTATTCAGGAAGAAAATCAACTAATGATGTTTCGATTTGGTCGCTCAGATACTCCGCAAATGTAGCAACATATAACCCACAGTCTCTACAAAAATGAAGAATATCAGTTATAAACTTAAATCATACATGATTCAAAAACAATAAAAGCACAATTCTTATAGGCTATCACTTTTTTGTTGCTTAATGTCTTGGGTAAATTCAACCATGAAAGGAACTTGTGCCTCCAAAAGTGAACCAAAATTATTGTCCTTGTACGCATCACAATCACCAAAGTTTGTTCGCTCAGTTTTTTCAAAGAATCCGCTGTCCATGAGGTAAGAAGGAAGCATTTTAGACAACATTTTTATCTCGTGCGGAATTGCTTTTTTCCTTGAGCCTAATGAAGAGTCATACACCCTTATCACCCTGTTTTTCAATTCAACAACAGCCAACACCCAATGAAATTGTCCACCGTAGTTAATCGAGATGTAAACATCGTCTACAAGATGCCATGGTAAAGCAGATGGGATTTCAAAACCTTTGATGATGTTAGTGATTGACCTCTCATAAACAGATACAGCTGAAGCACGATCAATATGTTCTTGGGTACTAATAAGATCATCATCATTAGCCAAGTAATACCTTTCATAGGTATTTTTGATGTGTGTGATGAACAACTAGTTGGTTGTTGTGTATCTGTATTGATTCATGCTGCGGAGTTTTTATTTTTTACGGAGGTAGTAAAAAACAACATTGATGTGCTATAAAAAACATGATAAACAAAATTAGAAACTTGTAAAAAAGGTCTAATGATAGCATTGATACATTAAATGACAATCTAAACAAATACTAATTTGATATTTTGATACTTTATTTGAGTGTATCCGGAATGACAATCTAAACAAATACTAATAATAGTTTTATTAAAAACTTTACCTGATCAGTCCAACATTTGTTTGGTTGTGACATGGCATAGAACCAGTTCTTGTTAATTGGAAATGCAACAACAAAATCCATCATCTCAAATTCAAAAGAAGAGGCTTTTGATCTGTATTTATCCTCCGATGGTTTCCTGTGATAATGCTTGTATTATCAATTGGTTATATCAAAATAGGTTAATCCAAACATTTACAAAATATATGTATAAAACTTACTTATTGAAATGATTTTTGAGAAGCTCCTTGGTTAACCACTGCATATAATCATTAATTAGTTTAGACGAAACTTGCTATGTAATCCCACATCCTTCAAATGGGAAATACAGATGAACATCGTCATCCAATTTCTGTTTTCCCTTCTCGCTTGACCCAAAAGAAGTCACGTATGAAGATTGAATAATTCTTGAAGGCATCTTGTTTCTAGGCGCAGGAGTCTTTGAATCGCTTCTAACAACAATCTCGGTGGTTGGAATATCTGTGGGTAATTGACTATCAGACAACAAATCATAACTGCCAGTTAAATCTTGTGGATTGTAAACACACAATGGTTTAGCAGGAATAGGAACTTTTCCTAGATCGGATATAAGTGCATCTATTGTTGCTTGAGTTAAGGGCGATATTGTTGTTGATGTGGAAAAATCTTGTATAATATGATATTATAATTTGTTTAGTAAATGTCACGCCCTGAGCCTACACCCTGGGCAAGATTGGCACTCGAAGACCATTGCTGACCTCAAGTGAACCCTTGGCCAGGCTTACTGACTCAGCAGAAGATTCTAAACATGCTTACTATGATCAGAGTAGTTACTCAAATAATTTTAGTGAAATAACTCAGAATGTTTAATAGTCAACATTCAACTTGGCCAAAATGGCAACTCAAATCTTAACATATGAAATGAAATGTAAAGACATCTGACTACTAACTGTCTATGAAGCCTTTAAAACAAAGAGGGATGTCCGGACAGGACCCCCGATCATACTAACATCTTAAAGACTAGAAAGCAAATAAAGGAGTCAACCGGAATGGAAGGAGGCTCACCAACAGACTCTGAATGCTCAAGCTGGATCAACGAGGCGCTGGAAGCTGATCCTGGTTACCTACGTCTGCATCATAATACGATACAGGCCAACTGGCATTAGTACATTGAATGTACGAGTATGCAAGTTGGAATGCTAAAACAAGATATAGGCTTAAAAGGATTCTGAAAGGAAACACTTACCTGTCTCTTCTCCACTTCTGAATAACTTAACTCAAATATAAAGCAATGAAACACATGCAATATATAAAGCTTATAAAACAGTTGAAAACATCTTAGTTCGATAAAGATAATGCAGTAACAAACTCCACTTTGCTCATATAAGAAAATATTATAATTTCTGGGGGAGATTCTCTAACCGACAACTACCACTATGAGCCTAAATGGTGATACAACACTTTACCTCACGCTGCCAAGGACCATCCTATACCTTGCTGTGGTATAGGACCTAACTCACTTAGTGAATCCACTAGTCTATGCAAAAAGGATTCATCTAAAAAGTATGACCCATTTCTACCCACAGTGGCTACATGGTTTATGGAGACTTGAGTTAATATGAACTCGCATCTCCATATTGGTGATCAATACTACTTCCAAAATATACTTAGCTCATGTGTTTGTAAAAACAAATTCTTTCTTTGGTTTGAGATAATTACTCAAAACTTAGCTTAAAAGCTCTCTTGGAATCGATGTTCCTTTTTCTTGCTCAAATGTGAAAACATTTATAAACTCTTTGGGAATACTTAGTTCCCTAATAGCTTTTTGAGAAATGAACTCAACTCTTTACTCTTTGCTTAACTTGAAACTTAAGTCTTAAAACAAAGTTAAAACGTTTGTTAAAGACTTTTGAAAACTTTAAAAACTTTGCTTGACTTGCTTCTTAACTTCTAGACTTGACTCTTAACGCCTCTTGACTTTGATCCTAGCTTTTCTTGAATTGGATTATGGATTCAAGGTTCATGATCTCATGTTTATGGATGATTTCATGATGTTTAGATGTACCTTGAAGTGTTGGAATCAACTAGAAACATAGGTACATTGCTAAGGAACAAGTACAAAAAGGTGGGGAGCGAATGGGGAGAACTGGAGTCCCTGGCGTTCTGAGAGGCGTGGGGCGCCAGCCCTCAACATTCAGGGACTGGTCTGGGGGTGCTCTAGCTGGCGCGGCGCGCCAGAGCACAAATTTTAGAGGAACTTTTGTGGTGCTTTGGGAGGCGCGGCGCCCCATTCTGGCTGGCGTGGCACCCCAAGGGTGAAGATTCAGAGACACTTTTGGGGGGCGCTGGCTGGCGCGACTCCACACCCCTATACCCAGGTGTTTGACGACTTTTCTTCTCCGTTTTTCATCTCCAAACCCTCTAAACTTTAATGATTCTTTCCCCAAACACTTAGAAGAATTAGTACCCTCAATATATGATAGATTCAAACCAAAATTACACTCGGAAACATGAATCAAATCGCAAGAAACTCCAACAACACAACCCACAAGAAATTCAACGAAACTTCCAACAATGTTCATCAAGAACTTCACTTTCTAAACTTTCAAAGACGTAAATTCGCTGAATGGAATCATGTTTGGAGCGTGGGCGAACTAACCCAATGCTATGTGATATCACATACCTTGTAGGGATCACCCCCGACGAAATCCACAAGCAAATCACGACGATCTTGACGGGTCTTGAACGTTCTTCTCCTTTCTCCTCTTCTTTTCTCTTCTCTCAAAATCCTAACTCTTTTGGTAAAAGTGTAAACTGATCTAATTCAGCTTAGGCCGCTAATTAATTATTAAAAAATGAATTAAAATAAAGAGTATGGAAAATACCAAAACACCCTTAAAAATCCGAATTGGACATTTCCTTAATCCAACAGCCCAACTTCCAAATGATATAACTTACTCATACAAACTCAGAATCGTGCAAACTTGGTGGCGTTGAAAAGATTATTCCAAGATCTTTCCAACCATATTTATAAGTACACCTAACTCATCCTGAGCTAGGAGTTATGGCCATTTAAAGTTGAC